TTTGGTCTATTATTCTTAATAGAATCCTCTCTTAATTACGAGCAAGAAAGAAAATTAGAAAGAAAGAAAATTACCATGCTGATGCATAGTTATTTTATACCGAGTACTTTCGACATAAGCACAATGTCATCGTCGGGCTCTTGTTTTTTCTAAGACAAAAAATATTGCGTAAATTTTTCTAAGACAAAATTGTGTCCATCTAAATATTAAAATTATACATATGTGGAAAACGCTAAGGCTGTGTAGTCCGATTTTTAATTTTTATGATGTAAACACACAAAAACCTCAAGGGAGGTAACTAAGTTAATGTAATACTAAATATTAAAAAAATAATTAAACTATTAGTTCAAACGTAGATATTTTAAACTACTTACTGTAAACATTTTAAAAAATATTTGTTCAGTATTCATAATTAATTTAGTTTAGTGACGTATAAATATGTAAGATAGTACATGTTTTGAATGTTATTGCCAAATAATGTCCGGTGTTCCTGCTATATATTTAGAGACTCTTCATAAATTCCAAGGACTAATCAGTATATTATGTCATCTGGGGTTCCCAACACCGTAATATAGCCCCCCTGTGCCTTTTCTAGAAATATTTTATGGTAACCATTCTGATGAAATTCCCTCTAAGGCGTCGACCCTTCATAAATTTAAGCGCAATACTGGAAGGGCGACAAGGACTTATCAATTTATAGATGCAACTGTAAGTTCTATGCAAACAAGTTCTTTTCTCGCGTTTCTGGTTTATGGAATTCTATTCCCGCTCTCCATGCTTTCCAGCCAACTTTGATTTTAAATAATTTAAATGCAATCTCAATCGTTATCTACTGTCTTCTTGATAACTCCTTTTAATGTTTCTCTTTTTTCTTATTCTTTAACACTCAGTAACCCCTTGTGTCTTAATGGCTTTAATGTATTGCTTGGGATGAAATGATTAAAAAGAATATTTACTACAATATTTTACATATTAAAGCTACCTAGACGTTATTTGATTATTTAAAAAAATGCCATATCATACCAAGCAGGACAATAATACCAGAGAAGAGGGAAAGAATACAAGAAGGAGAAAACATTATTAAGGAAAGATAACAATAAAAGAACAGGTATTAAGAAGTGAGAAAATAACAATTGACATTGCATTCAATTTGAAAGATCAATGCTATAAAAGAACAATTTAGAATAGAACTTCCGGTTACATCTAAACATTTCAACTGTAAAATGAAGTGACTCAGCTGCCATTCTAGTAGTAAGCTTAAATTCATTGTCTAAGTACCACAGGGCAAAGTGCAAATGCAAAATGCATATAGAAAAGGCACAGGAAAGCTTCATTACGGCAGTGCGAAAATGACTGAAGTCGAGATGCCAGGTCAAGATCAATAACATTGCACATTCTTTGGATTTTAGCAAGAATCTCTAAATATATAGCAGTAGCATCTGACCATATATTGCAGCAATATTCAATGCATGAACGAATGATAAATTTATAAATATGTTAGATTAAGTAGAAAAAATTGTCTACCACGACACAATGTACTCTTACGAGAGTACATTGTGGACCTAGCAATTGATTCAATATAATCTTTTGACTTCCTGTCATCCGGATAAGAAATGATGAATCACTCATCTGGAGTTTAGCATCTGACATGTTGAGGCAAAGCAAATAAGTGCAATAAAGGTAAATAATTGTGCCATTAGCATAGATACTTACGTTAACGAATATATATATATATATATATATATATATATATATATATATATATATATATATATATATATATATATAATTAACGTGGGGTATCTATGCTGATGGCATAATTATTTATTATATGCTAATATATATATATATATATATTGAAACCTAGGTAGGTAGTACCTGGCTCATTAAAGGTTTATTTATACTACCTTTGCTCTACTACGCGTATTGAGCAATCTTCGTTTTTTAATTCTAGAGGATTAAAAGAAAAATAAATTAGATTATTCAGCTAAATATGGTTGAATATTTTGTGTGTGTACATATATATATATAGATAGATAGATAGATAGATAGATAGATAGATGTTGTTGCTTTTTTTTTTGTACCAGAAATTTAAGGTGTTGAACGATTTTTCCGGCCTGTTTTGAAGTTCCTGTTTTTCTACTTTTTTCCAAACAATTTTTCCTCGGTTGCCAATTAGTTTGAAAATTGTGCTATCTGGGATTTTTCACCCACCGGTTATATATATATATATATATATATATATATATATATATATATATATATATATATATATGTGTGTGTGTGTGTGTGTGTGTGTGTGTGTGTGTGTGTGTGTGTGTGCAGCATATCTTCATTCAAGTATGTTTGGTTGAATAATCTAAACATATGTAAATTCATTTTTATTTTACCCTTTCGAATTTACGGATCAATTTCTTAATGTTGGTAAAAAAAGTCATTAACGATTTTCTCATTCATTTTATCGTTTTAAAATATCATATATTATATCAGCAATATTTTAAATTAATTCAGTTGTAACTTTTAAATTTTTTTACAAATATAAATTAAGTTGCCTCCTTAGATAACTTTAATTTTTGCATTAACAAAGAGCGTTTCATGCGCATTTACAAAATTTCACAACTATCAATTACATTAATCTTTTTCTTAGCAATTCACCCCTGAAGGTGGTTTTGGATGAGTCTGAATGTACTTCTTGGGAAAATAAAAGGAAGTCTTTCTTAATGACTTTAATAACAACATTATGAAATTTATCCAAGAATTCTCGAGGATTAAAAGAAAAATAAATTAGATTATTCAGCTAAATAAGGTTGAATATTTTGTATATATATAGTATAACTATTTTCTTTTAAAAAGAGAAAAATATATTATACTCTATTATTTTTATCGAGCACTATATTTTTAATAAACATAATTGCTATGAACACCGGATTATAAAATTATAAAACTTTCTGTACTTTCTTATTATAATAACAGATAATAATAACAATAATAATAATAATAAGATACATTAGTAATATAATAATACTGTTAAGAATTTTATTATTCATATTGATAATATAGTAATAACAGTAATATTAATGTCGCGTCCGAATGTGAGAAAACTATATTAACTGAATGAACGTGGTTGAGTATTCACTTGTTTCTAGGTATGCATGTGGTAGTTTAACTCAATCCTTTTATTTAACAAATTAGGGTTATCTATAAGTTTTAGGATTACTAATGTTTTCGAAAGACATAAATTACATTTATCACCTTTTCCGCTGAAATGTTTGGCTTTTGCTACGTAATCTCAGATGATATATTTCTATTGCCGATTTTTATTTTCCAGCAACATTTAGAGAGGGCAGTGTTGTTGCTGTATTTAATATTACATAATGTCATTTGATGATGTTAGGAATATGACTTCCAATAGTTTTCATTTGAATCAAAATAGAATTTGATTTCAGTATCATGCTTGATGCTAGCTTTATATATATATATATATATATATATATATATATATATATATATATAAAGGTTTTGAAAAGTTCAGTGAATTGTTAATCTCAAAATCAAGTATGTATTACAATTCAAATAGGTTTATGGTAAGAATTTTTGCATAAATCAGAAAATGTGACACCGAAATCCGAAGGCGTGATGCAATTTTGAATGCTAACGTTCCTAAAGTTTACCAGCGTATTAAAAAAAAACGAACGTTAGAACAAAGTAAAGAGTATTTAATTCTTACGTAACATCAGTCCTGCGATATGGTGAAAAGGTGCCAGAGGCAAACAAAAATTGGATTCTACAGAAGGATGCTGATAATAACATTTTTTATTTTAATCATGTCATCCAACCAAGGCGATAATGCCACTAAGATGCAAGCGCTACTGCAAGTGAAAAGTTAATAAAAGAACAGCGTCAGTGAGCAGTAGATGACGATTGACTGATGTTGCATTTAAATGTTTGAAGATTGTAGATGGCAGGGAATCAAGAGTCTGGAAGATAGTACCATAACTGAGAAGGAAATTAAAAAAAATAGTATAGCTAGAACACACGGGTACGTCTAGCAAAGTCATCAGTGTAAATGTTTCACCGAGTTGCCAAACTAATAGGACGCTTAAATTCATACAGTTGAAAGCTCATCAGAAAAATTGCCGGGAAAATATTGATAGAAAAAACGGACAGAAGCCACGTCACGGCGGTGGGAAAATAACTAAAAACCAGATGCCAGGTCAGAATCGGTTACGTTATGGACGAATGGTAGATTTATAAATATGCAAGATAGATTCTGACAAGAAAATAAAACTGTCTGGCACGACGCAGTGAACCAACTTTTTACAGTAGACTTATCAATTCATCCAATGTAAGCACTCTACTTGGAAAACATGACCCCCAGAAAGAAGACGTAATGAGTTGATCCCTGCTGGTTAGCAGAAAAGTTCATGAATCGTGAGTAACGAGGAAGCTTTAAGAAATGTTTTAAATTAAAGCATGAAGGACATTTATTCTTAGCATCAGGAAGTTAGAATTGAAAATTATGGGATACAAAATGAAGAAAGTAGGCACGAAAACAGCAAGTTGCTTAATACGTTTTTAGAAGTGAAAACCTGATTATGAATTTTGGTTTATTTAGTATAAGTCGTAAATCAACTTTTAGAAGAAAATAGGATTCTAGCTGAAGAATAAGACAAGCCAATTTCCTTTTAGTAAGATTGATCTTATACACTTGTACACCAGGTGATGACCATCAACTCTGGCGGGGAGGAACGGTGTTATGATCAAATGTATTTTATAAAGAAAAGAAGACACTAGAAAATTAGTTCTCAATAAAAAGAAAGCTGAAATTAGAATTTAATAATTTATGTAATGAAAACAAATGAAAGAAAGAAATCAAGAAAGAAAAGAACCAAAAAGAAGGAACGGAAAGGAAAGAACAACAGAAAGAAAATAAAGAAAGAAATTGAAGAAGAAAGGAAAATTGATGTTAAATGAAGAAGACAGTGACGCAAGAAAAAAAGTTAAAAGAAAGAAAGAAAGAAAGAAAGAAAGAATGAAAGAAAGAAAGAAAGAAAGAAAGAAAGAAAGAAAAAAATTAAAGAATTAAGGAAAGGAGTGAGTTGAATTTGAATGCGTAAAGAAAGAAAAATGTAAAAAAAATTGGAATACAAATTAAAAGAAAATGTCGAATTAAAATTGAATGGAGAAGACGGTGAAGAAATTAGAAAAAGAAAACGACAGAAGCAAGAAAGAAAACTTGAAGAAAAAAGAAATCACAAAAAGAAGAAAAGAAATTAAAGGAGCGATGAAAATTTGAATTTAAAGAAATATAAAAGGAAAGAGTTAAATAAACAAAGAAAGAAAAGAAAATTAAAAGAAAAAGACAATTAGAAGTGTAATGGAGAAGGTGAAGAAATAAGGGGAAAAATCAAGAAAAAACTTGAATAAAAAAAGAAAGGAAGAGAGAAAGAAATAAATAGTTGAAGGAAAACTGAAGATCAATGAAAAAACGCGAAGAAACAAGGAAAAAAGAAAAAAGCGAGAGAGAAAACTAGACTAACAAAAAGAAACGATACGAAAAAAACAAAGACGGAAAAAACGAAAGAAATGATGAAATAAATAATGAAAGAAAGAAACATATAAGAGAAAGAAAACTGAAGTTGAATGAAAAGGACGGATAAGGAATAAGAGAAAAATAGAAAAGAACGAAGAAAAGAAGTAAATAAAAGCTAAAAAACATAATTTGAATTTCAATTCGTAAATAAAGTTGACTATATGAAGACATACAAAAAGAGAAGGCAAAATAAAAAAGAATTTTAAAACGAAAGAAAAAGGAGGAACGTTTAGCTTCTAAAACTTAAAAAAAAAAGATAAAATGAACGAAGGAAAATTAAAAAAAAATCATTGAAAGAATAAAAAACACCAAAATGAGATAAAATTATCCAGTAAAAAGAAAATTATTTCAATTCAGCATTTGCCGTGTCCCTTAAGAACGTGGGCAATTTCCCCTCTTTATAGCTCTTTGTCTTTTTTCCTAATTCTTGTTCTGTCGACAATTTGAATAAGCTCATTAGGTAGATTATACGCTGCTTGCCTCTATTCTCCTTGCTTGCAATATGTCATGTGTGTGTCAAATTTTCTAAGCCCTCTTTCCTCAGTATGTGTCTCCTTCTGATGCTATGTGTTGTTTTTTATATGTTCTAAAACTTCTTCCTCGCTCAATTGTTCAGTCCGTAGTAACATCAGCATCCTTCAGTAGAACGGCATTTCTATTGCCTCAAGTCTCTTCTTCATCTGTGAGGAGAATCTCAAAAACTACACGCCTGCATGCATAAAAAATAAACTAAAGATATATGAAAAGTTAATCATTCACTTTATTTGAACAAGATTTCTTGGAGCGCATTGTGTCTTGTTGCCTGCGATGGCAGCTGCAAGATTATGTTAAACAGAGGCGACAAGAAATATAACGAACTAGCTTAAAGGCCGCTCCATCTGGAGTCATTTAAGTTAGCTGCTGGAGAAGGCCATTGAGCCATCATCACAATAGGCAGAGTGGAGTAGATGCAATAGGCAACAATAAACTACTAGGAACTACAATAATTAAGAGGTAGTCCCACGATCCTCAGACCATCTCAATCAGAGGCCTTGCTTCCGGATGCATTTTATTGTTATAACAAGGACGTACGAGAAGTGCGGTTGGATAAACTGTTAGCATAGAACATACGGTTACACCTAGCAATTTAAACTGTAAAATGCTGAGACATAGCCGCCAATCTAGTACTAAGCGTAATTAAAGCGCCAACGAGAAAAGCTTGTCAGGAGATGAAGATATTTCTGCAAGAGGCACAAGGAAGCTACAATTGCGCCAGTTGGAAAGGGACTGAGAATGGGACGCCAGATAATGACCGATAAAATTGTAGATTCTTTTTTGGATTTTATCAAGCCTCGGTAAATATATAGCAGAAGCTCCATACCACATATGTCAGCAATATTCAATGCATAAACGAACAGTCGACATATAAATGTGTAAAATGGATTCTGTCAAGAAACATTGTCTAGCACAACGCAGTGACCAACTTTCGTAGCAGTAGAGATAGAATTATAGATAAGAACAGAATGATAGATAAATTGTGTATAAACATAAAGGACAGTAGGAAAACTATATTATTAACCAGCGTGTTTCGTCCAATGGGGACTTTTTCAAGGCAAAACAAAAACGAAATGAATTTATTAAAAACAAAGTAAATATTAACAACAAACGAAATGTCCTTAGCAACTAGAAGAATTTAGAAAACGCTATTGTATTCATATAGTCAACTGAAAATTACGTCAAGTACTGTTACGTGTAGAAATGTTGTTTTGATTTCTTGATACAGTTGTGTACGTTGGCTCGGGAGAGTAGTAATTCTGTTAGGAAAGGTGATATTTGTAAAAAACCTGGGCGTAGATTAATATTTGGATAAAATTCAATGGCGGCACTCTCGAGGATTTTCCTTGAGTGAGTTATTTTCTTTTTTTATGAGTGTAACATTTTTAAAATCAAAATTGTGGTTTTCCTAGATAGATAGATAGATAGATAGATAGACAGACAGAAATTACTTTGAGATAGAGATGCAAAGACTTATGTAGCTATGCAAAACAATTATAGATAAATAAGTAGATAGGCAGTAGGTAAATTTGAAAAATAAAACGAGACTGGTAGAGATATAGATAGATGGATAATATTAAATAAAGAAAATAGAGAGATATGAATGAACTGAGATAGATAGGTAGATAATTTTTTAAGCATTACACCACAAACAAGGAGGGAGTGTCACTATTAAAGAGGCGTGATAGAGGAAAGGAAAAAGAGAAGAACGGGGAATAGATCAAAGTATCTGGAGATGTGGACATTGCATTAGAATATTTGAAGATTATAGCTATCAGGGAAGCAAGTAAGAGGAAGGGAGTTCCACAGACGGGAAGTGCAAGACATGAAGCTATTGGAGTAGAAGAGACCGTTACATTTAACCGTTTCGGCAGTGAAAGAATGGGACTGAGATGCCAAGCTGGTAGCACGTTTAAATACATACAGTTTGGGAAGCAGCAAAAGTAGCTCGTCGGAGCATTTGCCGTAAAAGTATTTGTAGAAAAGATAGGGGAAAGCGACGGCACGTTTCTAAGAGAGCGACTGTAAACGAGATGCCAGATCAGGGCCAATCAAATTGCAAATCCCTCTCTGGATTTTGTCGAAGACCTTAAGACGAACAGCGGGGCTCTAGATAATCTATGGTAGCAGTATTCCATGCAAGGGCGAATGGTTGATTTACAGATTTGAAGGGTGGACTCGGGCTAGAAAAAAACTTTCTGGGGCGACACAGAGAACCAATTTTCCTTGCGGTTGATGAAGCTATTGATCCAATGTATTTGTTCCATCTCAGGTCAGTGGGCAGTGTGAGACCAACCAGTCGCAGAGAAGCGCTCTAGTGGAGTTGAGCATCAGACATTCTAATGGGAAGCAGGGAGGGTTCTCTGTCTGGCTAAAATATAGCAGTTTTATTTTTGAGTCATTAAAGTATGAAGAACTTTAACAGTTTACAGTTTTAAAAAAAACAACAAAAAAAAAAAACAGGGCCAGTATTGCTATATTTTTAACATCAATCGAAATGAATTGAAAATATTAAAACTGCCCAACCCGAACTCACATACGACTTCCCATACACAGATTTAAACAATGAACAAATAAAAAGTGAATTATTTAAACAAGAAATACAGAAGAATACAACTACATTTTTTGAAACTTTAGAAAATAGCCGAGATATAAATCCTGTCCATGATACTGAAAATAACATTGTTACATTGTCTTTCCACACGCAGAACCGAAAGTTAAAGAATAGAAAGAAAAGAAATCATAAGAGAAGATAAGGAGGCAATAAAATTATGCAAAGGGGAAATAACCAAGACACCCGACATATGTGCGCATACGCACACGTACACGGGTACACAAAAACACACGCATACAAACACGTCTGCACACAGACAGATGCACACACGCAAAGAAGCAAAAATAATCAACCTAGCAGAAATGAAAAGACTCATGAAATGTTTTTAAACAGAATATAAAAAATAACGAAAATGAGAAAATTGACAGACAATTGCTGATAATTCCCGACAAGTGGACGGAACAATTACATAAATGTTCTTATATATATATATATATATATATATATATATATATATATATATATATATATATATATATATATATGTGTGTGTGTGTGTGTGTGTGTATATAATATAGATACATACATATATATATATATATATATATATATATATATATATGTGTGTGTGTCCACTATTCCTATATATATATGTATATATGTCCACTATTCCTATATATATATATGTGTGTGTGTGTATCTACAATTCCTATATATATATATATATATATATATATATGTGTGTGTGTGTGTGTGTGTGTGTGTGTGTGTTCACTACATATACCTATATCTATCTATCTATCTATCTATAGATATGTACACTACTATATATATATATATATATATATATATATATATATATATATATATATATATATACATATAGGATAGCGGCTCAGATTGAGGAATCGGAGAGTCGAGTTTGAATTCAGTCGAATCCAGTTTGACCCTCATACGTCAAACACGACAGGAGATTCCACCATATATATATATATATATATATATATATATATATATATATATATATATATATATATATATATATATATGTGTGTGTGTTAGGTCGTTTCTATTTGTTGGTTTAAGGTTGACGTTTTAAATCTATATTAGTCTGAATTAAACAAGTATCAAGGAAATTTATCTTACTATTTGTTTCTTTTTTCACTGGTGAATTCAATTTTGTTTCAATTTTGTTTAGTTTACTTACAAGAACGGACAATTTAGTTTTGTGCGGTTTTATTAGTAAAGCGTCATCTACAGACTGCCTGTATGTAGAGTGTAATGATGCCTTAGGAGTATACCAGCGCAAAAGTAAATTACACTTTCTCCTAGGTAAACTCAACAAAAATTGGAACTGCAATTAAATTCACACGTAAATAAGACCAAAAGAAAAACCAAAAATAAACAACTCTTCTTGTCTCGCAATTCTATGAATTAAAATTAATACCGGTTTCAAATTAAAGGTCTGTCTAAAATCGACAAATAAAAAAGACCTCAAATAGTTTGCATACATACACATACACACGTTTTTTCTGCTCTTGATAGTTCTAAAAGTTACTTGATCAACCAATTAATCCCAAGTAAGGCAATAATGCCACTAAGACAAAGGGTTACTGACTGTGAAAGGATAAGAAAATAAAGAGGGGAGAGAACAATGCAAGAAGAGGAATCAAAAAGTATTAAATAACGATTGATGTTGCATTTAAAATTTGGAAGATCAAAGTTGGCTGGAAGGTAAGAATTCCGAACAGATTTCTACAATCGTGAAGTTCGTGAAAAGAAACTGTTAGCAAAGAACTTACGGCTACATTTAGCCATTTCAACTGTAAAATAATACGACATTGTTCCCAATCTAGTACTTCTCTTTATAAAGCCTAGATACCATAAGGCAATGTTCGTCAAGACAATTAACATGAAAATATTTTTAGAATAGGAACAGACCCGCTACATTACGCCGGTACGAAAGCGAATCAGGCCAACTCCGATAAACTTGCAGATTGTTCTATGGAATTTATCAAGTATTTTATCAAGAAATATA